ATGTTTTGGGACTGTGGGAGGAAGCAGGAGTACCCAGAGAGAACCCACCCATTCTCAGGGAGAACATTCAACTCCATACAAAAAGACTCCAGGCCAGGAATCGAACCCAGAACCTTCTTGCTGCCTTTGCACATTTCTTTTATTCTGAACAACAGCCATAAAGAGAGCAGACAGCTGTCCATATCAGTGTTTCCAGATCTCAGAGAAAAACAAGCAAAAAAACAAGCAACAACCCTTCTGAGTTAGTCCCAATTTACTCTCTACAACTGTTTTGCTCTGAATACTGAGCAGGGGGGAATCTAAAAAGGGGATGGAGGAGCAGCATCATGGTCACCACTGGCCAATCACTGGCCACCCCTGTGGTATTTTGCTGTTCCTACTGGGTTGTAATTCACCACCTCTGGAACAAGCAGTTCTCCTCTAAACCAGAAGGGGGCAACAGTGATACCATCATGTAGAATGTCCTACTTAGATATTTTAAATTTAGATTATTTACCAAAAACCGACAACAAAAATACAGCAAATGAACATGTAAAACAATCAAAGAGGACTTATACAGCATTCATGATGTTATGCTAATTGTTTTTGACTCTGCTGTCATCTTGAAATACTTTATATAATTAATGATAAAAAAAAACCCCTGCTCAACCCATTTAAGGTGTATATTTTGTAAAACCATAAATCAATTTCATTTTAATTTGCATTTGCATAGTTTTAGTAGCATCAGCCTTTTTGAAAATCTGGTCTGTCTTCAGTGATTTATTAGGAAAATATAAATGTTGTGCACGTTCATCTTCCTGTTGATTCTTTGTGATCAGCATAGATTGAATGAATATTTTTGTCGCCTATTAGTAATCAGTCACCCCTCGGTACACATTGGTCCCTGCCTAGTCATGCCATGAATTGTTTCCACTCCATGAGTGACAAAGAAAGCTCCGCCGGACAGGATAACCAGGGAACAGGTGCAAGGAAAGAAAAAAAAAATATGTTGGGGACTCAAGATGAGGAGTTTTACAGGCCAAACAGGAAAAATGCAAAAAAGCTAAGCTAGATTAAAACACAAGCTGTGACTCATGTGATCTGCAAATGGCTTTAGAAAAACAAACAACCCTAGAGCTGCTTTTAATAAGCAGACTTGGCAACATTGGTCAGACTGTAGGGTCTGACCCTAGAGTCAAAGAATAGAGATGCTCTGATCGGATGAAACATAATGAGACGTTTTTATCAACTTGCATCATGTGAAGCAAAGAACTAGAACCAAACATCAGTGATGGGAAAACTGATGGAGCTAAAAAGGAGCATAAAACAGGGCTTAATATAAGCTCAACACAGGACAGATCATCTAAGCATACAGACAGCGCACCAATAGAGGAGTTTAGATCAAAGCATACTCTCGTTTTACAATTAACCAGTCAGAATACACCCATACACTCACCGGCCACTTTATTAGGTACACCTGTCCAACTGCTCGTTAACACTTAATTTCTAA